TGCCACAGAGCAGACCCTCGATAACCTGCAACCACTGCACCTTCAGCCGGAGCATATGGGGAGTGGGTGTCCCTGCTTTCTCTTCCAAAAATGCAGACTAAATCTCATGACCTCCTTCACACCCGGCCCCAGCCTCTCTGTAATCCGAGGGAAACAGACAACAGTGCAGGCTCTAAAATCAAACTGGGTTTGGCTCCTGGCTCTGCCCCAGACTAGCTGTGACCTTAGAAAAGTCACATTACCTCTACATACCTCTGTTTTCTCCTGCGAAATATAGTATTAATAAAAATAGCTGGCACATATCAAGTGCTTACCGTGTGCCTCACTCTGTGAAAGCGGGTTCTGTACACTGAGAAATGAGGTGATCTCATGATAAAGGTTCAGATATAAGACTCAAACCACCTGGGTTCAAATAGTGGTTCACTCCCTCCCCCAGCTGGGCAACCTTTGGCAAGTTACTTAACTTCTCTGTGCCTGAGTTTCCTCCCTATAAAATGGAGTTAATAACGGTGTCTACCTCATTGGATTGCTACAAAGATTATATGATGGAGTGGATGTAAATTCTTAGAACAGTGCCTGGCACTTAGAGACACACAGTCGATCTATCTTATGCAATCATCTTGACAGCTATCTGATGTTAAATTCTTTTTATCCCCAAGAGGAAACTGAGTCTCAGAGAGGCGAAGTGATCTGCCCAAGCCTGCGTAGACAGCAAGTTGCAGACCTGGGATTCAGGCTCTGATTTGGCTGATCAGAGCACAGGCTGTGTGAGGAGGAGGACCTAGCGGGGTGACTGGCACATGGCGGGTGCCAGTTGCACCCAGGAATTCAGACTTCCTGCCCACCCCCAGCCCAGCTGGGTGCGGCTCCTCCCCTCCCTGTCTTGGCCCATGGTGCTCTCTGAACCCTCTGTAGCGTCAGCCCCGCATCGCTGCAACAAGCAGAGCCCTCGCCAGCTTCCGAGAAAACCAAATGAGTTTAGCGTCAGGTCAGAGAAGCGTCTCATTTTGATTAGCGTTGATCTAATATGTTGTCTTTCCTCACGGAACTCTGAATAAGTTAATCAAGGACAGGCTGGATTTGTGTTTTCTTAATAACACTGCCTGATTCCAAAGGCTGCCTGCTAAGAGCCCTAGACTTG